GGGACTTGACTCACTATCTAGTTTCGAGACACTAAGAAATACTGTGTTGGCTTGGCCAATATTCTGCTTTTTAAATGGACAGCATGCTGAGTGCATGAAGAGTGAATGCTTTACTAGTGATCATATGGAGTTTTAGGGTTTATAAGGAGTATTAGCAACTAAGTGATAACAGTTTTGAACAAATTCAAGGAAATTTGAAGGAGTTCATCAACCTTTCCAAACATGTTCCTATCAGTGGAGGTGGAGTTTTCTATTACACATTTACCAGAGGTAAATAGGCCTTCATGAACTTCTTCTAGAGCAGGTAAACATTCCAAATATTGTACCTTAGTTTCCTTCACAATAACAGATTGGGTATGTTGTAGCCTAAGGCTGAATGACAGTCCAGGGACATTACTTTCATCATCACTGTTGAAAATTTGGTTAGTCTCTGTGTCACAAGAGCACATTAGGAAATTCTGTCTCACTCCATTTTCTGGAACTGAAAGTAATTAACAGCTGAAAGATACTGAGATATAGGGCCTACCTATCACCTGACCCAGCCTGGTTTAGTCCAGAAATACAAACACTTGTCTTATCATTGAATTATTTCCGGGAATCCTGTAGTCACCCATTAAGCACAACGTATTTGAATGATATAGTCCTCTGGTATTAAATAATCTAATTTTTTGTTGGTAACATTTGTTCCTAGAGGAATGTAATTGGGTGTTTGTGCAAGCCAGTTATACCTGAGTAAGAAATAAATCAAAATAGCAAAATGCAATGAATTTGCAGCATGTTTTTTCATTACACATATTTTGCAAGAAAAAATATCTATCCTTTGAAGCTTTTTCCTGGATTGTGATACTGCCCCCTAAGGGGCAAAGCAACATCCTTTTCCCTTTTGCAATGACTGGAAGCTCTTCTACCACAACAGAGGTAGTGTTGCCACTAGGATAATATATATGCTGAGCCACATTTGGGTAGCTGTCATCAGTCTGAAAACTACCACCGACCTAATTAACACAGTAATGGGTTTTCCACTCTTATTCTCTCTGAGTGACAGTTTAATAAGTAACTCCACAGTGATCCTTTAAATCAGAACCATACTTCATCTTAACAAGATACAGCTAAAATGTTCCAAAAATTAATCCTGAGAAATTCGGTATGTAACATTTCCAGCGTATAAACTTTATTGTTTACTTACATTACCAGATTTTATTATCTATGCTTAAAAATCATTCCATGGCTGTGTGCTGGTAGTTTAAGAAAGATGCATGTTTTTATGAACCAAATGCTAGGTGAGAAGAATTGAATCTGTATAAGTTATAAAATTGTCTAATAACAGGAAACTATTCCACACATATAGCTTTGCACAGCTATGGAATCAAAAGCCTTCAGACCTTCAGTAATCCTCAATTTTGCCTCAATTTAGTACTTAATATGTAAATATAATATCCGTAAACCATCTCCATCGGAATTAATTGGATTCCTGTGCTTTAAATTAAATAACTTGAAAATAAGACACAGAGTACAAGCTTGTTGACTTTAATAAGGTCCATTTATGGTTTTGAGTGAATTAAGAACTGATCCAATAAAGCAATTGTGAGCATACTTTGAAGTAGAACAGGTGTTTAAAGGCCTCACAGGATCATGATTTTAGTGAAACAGAGGGTTAAAAACTATAGTTTGCTCTCAATGCAGAGTGAAATTATAATTCCTAGGTACTCTAATTCAAGGATAGAAAAACATTACTATTTTCTCAGTCCTCTAGGTCCTTGATATGTTTCCTTTTTGTTTGTCTTTCATGGATAAGATGCTTAAATGTAGACTTATAGGAAACATGAGCCAAAGCAAATCAAACTGTTTAGTTCCAATTCCAAAACCTCTAAAGAAAAGGAAAGGCATAACCAAAGAGATATATGGTAAGGAAAAAGAAAAACTAAATGCTTTTAAAAATTGAATGTATAACAGGCTTTATTAAGATTATAAATCTATGGAGGTTTATGAAACTGTCTGTGCCTCTGTATTGTTAAGATAACTTTTTCATTACTTGTGTAACAGGGAATATTTGAAGCATTTTTGAGGTTGCTGTGGTCACTAAATTGTTCTCATGGATATTCCTGTTGTGCCCAGAGGTTTTTAAATCCATGTATTATAGATAGCTTAGTTGACACTTGCACTTCTAGAAATCAAACACTCCTTTGTCTGTTATCATTTAGTCTCTGTAGGATGCAAAATCACCCTCTAAATTAAATATTCAGATAAGTGCAGGCATGGACACATGCATATACACACACACACACACACTTGTTCACTGCGCTGAACAAGTAGTCAGAGGCAAGATGGCAACAAAAAGGAATTGAGTAAAAATAAGTTTATTTTGAAAGGATGTGAGAGTTACAGGGAGGGTTATCTCAAAATATAGAATCCTCAGCCGTAGCTGGGATTCATATCTGGTACTAAAATGGAAATAAATTGAAATAGAAGAGGTTTAAGGGTCAGTCTCACAAAATACAGAATTAGCCAGTGAACAATCACAAGCAAAAATATTTACTGCAACTGTAAGCCACAGCAGGTGATGTCATTCTGATCCTTTAAACCCCTTAAATGAGTAATCATCAGTAAAAAAGTTTAATGACAGAAACAACTTACAAAATAGGGACATAACTAGACATTTACTGCCCTGCAAGTTCTTCCAAGTAGTAGCAAAACTGTAGGGCATTCATAAGGGAGAAATTGTACATATTATTTCAATCAAGAAGAACTCAGGTTAAAGGCCATCAGATTAAGGCCATTTGAGGCCATCAGATTAAATGATGACTTGGGTGTGAGTGAACATGCCATTGTAACTTCATGACCCAAAGAGAGTGTACAAATAAGGGCAGAATAAAAACAATAGCTTTCAGAAAGTCAGACTTAATGAAACAGAGAATTTGAAGGAAAGATCATTTCAAATGGCTTGTATGAGAAGGTGTAAAAGAGACTAATAATTTACAAGAATATCAAGGCCACAAAACCCAGAAACTGTAATCCCATTGTCCTTTTAAGCATAAAGTGAATAGCATAAAAAAGAGACACCAGGTCAAACTACTGAGGATGGCTGCAAAAAAGCAGCATTGTAATTAAAGTTCAGGTTAGAAAAACAAGTTCAGAAAAGGAAACTTGTGGAGGAAATTAATTGCAACAGGAAACCAGTTACAAGTAAGTGTTCCAGAGGTAGGATAAAAATGAGAGATCTTTAGTTTATTTCTGCAGAGGTTGAAAGTGATTGACATACGATGCTGAAAATTTCTAAACACTTAATGACTTTTTCCACTCTTGCTAGAAAGCTCATTTGCTATCATAGCTAATATCAGGCATGAAGGATCAAGACTTCATCAAGGAACAAATTGATACTCGACTTAATTAGGTGTTTTCAAACTACCTTCATCTGATGAGTTATGATAGATGGATGTGAACAAAAAGCAAAAAGCAAAATAGTGCATTGCTTCACAAAGGAGGTAGCTAACTTCCTAACTTCCACTGCTGAAAAAAAAATGGAGCCAATAAACAAGAAAACTGTGAACACACTGAGTAAAGCAGAGGAATGAATAACCACCAACATTTGTGTCTCTGGAATGAATCATGTCTAACAAGCTTCATTTCCTCCTACAGATGGAGAAGGAACATCAGAAGTTGTATTGCAATTACAGTAAGGTTTTCACCATAACTTTGTGTGCCTTTCCTGGAAAGAATATAGAAAAACATGATTTAGATGAAAATGAAACAGATAAATGGAAAGCTGAGCAACTCTCACTCTCTAAAGGGTCAGGGTATAAAACTATTAAATGTTTGTATGAATGACCCAGAGAAGCAAACAAAAGGTGTTCTCATTAAGTATGAGGCATCACCAAGGCAAGAAGATATTTATTATCATGAAATTAAAAGAAACCTTGTCAGATTTTAGATGGGGCCAGGAAAAAGCATGTATTTTTTTCTAGCACATGATATTAAATATAGACAGGAATAAACAAGCTAGGCCACTGACTGAAAAAAATACCTGCAAAATAGCCTGAATCACAAAAAGATTAAAGTTGAGTAACCTTTTGCTGTTTGGGATTTAAAAAAAAAGGCAGAGAGAAAAAAAAAAAAAAAAAGAGCAATTTCTATGCAGAAAATTTATGCCTATGACATTTGAAGTAGATTTTCTCTGATCTCTGCATTATTGTGATAAGGTCTTAGCTGGAATATTACAGCTATCCTTGGATGTTATAGCAAAAAAATCTTTGGTCAAATGAATATTGTTTGGGATGAGCAGTCCCAAGTTTTGAAATTACTTATTTTGTAGTCATGACACATATATAACAGAGTCCACAACAAATCAAAATTCTACACCAGAAAGGAGATTTAGAAATGCAGGGAAATGTAAAATCTAGTCTCTGTCCATCTGTTTGTCTGACTTGCTTTCTTTCTATTTGGTTCACCTAGGGCTGAATAGGGATTCCTTTTATATTGAAGAAGATGCAGATCAAACCCTCACATTTTTTGTATTTTACACTTTTCTACAAATAAATGAAATCTAATACCTTCCTTTTTTATGTACTTCAGTAAGCCTGAAATGTGTTCATGTTCTTACTTTTAGTCGTTTTACGTTACATAAGTTTGATTGGACATCTATGTCTTGGACTTTTGCTCACAAGAATTCTTGGCATATATTAGAAAATTCAAGGTCATTTAAAAAATTGCCATTCAAAGGTTCAAACTTTTCATAGACTTCTTATCCCAGGCATTACTGTTTTTTTGAAGTCCTCCTCCAAATATCCCTTAAATTATAAGGCTTATTCTGTTGAACTGTGCACATAATTCTCATTAGGACCAGTGGGATTTACATATGTACATCAAAGGAATAAAAATTTTATTAGTCTAACAAGATTAGAAAAGTTGTTTAGAAATGTAAGCTTAGGTGTGTGTCTTGACTGTCTTCTACTATCCTCATCAGGACTGTAAGACTTTGCTTAATTTTGTCTCTATGACTTTACCTCTATGACTTGCACTGTAGTCCTAGTCCTACATTTGGGATTTGCAGAGAAGTGAGGTCCCTGGAGTGCAAAAATCCACATAGTCAAGCTGTACGTTCTTCCTTGAATCCTTCTGTAAGTCAAAGGTATTCAAGATCTTAGTGCCATTTGTGCTTTTACGTATCTCCTCATGGTTGACTTCCAGTGTGAGTTAGGTGCATTCCTTATGCATGTTCCTTGGACGAGCTGTACTGATACACCTCTTCATTCCTTTTCCTTTTCCCTTAGTGTTTATAACTGTCTGCAATGGAAGATATTCATGCCCCCTACTTTAGGCACCTACATTCAGAGCACATGAAGTTAGATGTTTTCCTAGACTATTGGTGGAATAATTAAGGAAGCTCTGACAGATGTTCCCCTGAGCTGGATGACAGGAGCACAATGTACAGCCATTGCCTACAAACACACTATCCCTCAGTTACACATCTGCAGGTGTGGGGTAATTGTATCCTACTACTTGCTCCCATAGCCTGAAACAATCCCTCAGCCTTGGCCATATTGATCACCACCATTGGTCTACCCTGGCCTCCAGTCGGGAGGCCTGGAGACACACCATCTAGAACACTGCTGCTGCTTTTGAGAACACACTCAGGATCACTCTCGAGGAGAAAAGACAATGCAGAAAGAATCGCATCTTGTTGATATCACCTGGGGAGTCTTTCTGCTGTGCCTTCTGCAACCGGACTTGTCTATCTCGCATTGGCCTTTTTAGCCATCAGCGTGCTTGTAGCAAGCGTGGGTAGAGCCCTTCTCAAATCTTCGTTCGCAAAGCCTAGCCATGATGACTTGCTCCCATATTGTTGTCTCTTAACGAATTTCCACCTTTGAAATTAACAATAACATGCTCTGAATTTCATCCCTAAGAAAGTTCTTATGCCTCCCAGCTTGGGAGTCGTTCTGAAAGTCTGGAAAGCTAATGGACTCTCAAAATAACAGATTGTTCTCAGCAGTACTTGTGCAGCTGTTTATGGTATATAACCTGTGGTAATAGTTACAGCCTTTGTATCACACCTGTAAGCTGAATCACAATCAACAACTCTAACACATTTGTTCTGACTTTCTCTATAGTTATATTTGTTTAAATCCCTTTTCTATAAAATATATGTTGAATGAAATTATATTATCATGTTCTTTAAAGCAAGTAATGGAAAAAAATGCCATAGTCCTTGCTAAGCAGTTATTATTATGAATCTTGCAGTTTAAAAATTATGTCTTTTTATTTCTTTAGTCTGAACTATGTAACGCTAATTTGTAACCATGGGACATCTATTCTCCTCCATTAAACTACTGTTTCCTCCGTAGGCACTTATAAGAGGTTATCAAATCACACCTTAATCTTTGCTAAACTTTCACAATCAGATGAATGACTTTTCAGATTCTTGAGCATCTTTCCAGTCTGCCAGCTGTTCTTATGCTTCTCCATGAAATTTTCACAGTTTGCCAGTGACTTCTTTAAAGAGTAACTTCTGGGATATACAGTGAATTCCTATTTGAGATGGCAACAGAGCCAAATACAGGCACTATGACTGCCTTTACATCCACAAATTGTGCACACATTCATACTATTAAAACCTCTTCTCAATGTTCCCTATTCCCCTGAAAATTTCACCATTCCAAGAAACCTACCGAGGATTGTCCCAACCTCCTTCCTCACCTGGGAAGGTTGAGGGAAATAGAGGCAAAACAGATATAGCATTTTAAGAGTTGATCCTTTGGTTTGACTACTCCAGGGGACCTCCTGTTCAGGTAGACATCCTGCATCCATTGGGGTAACAGCTTCCTACAACCAATACAAGGCCTCTGCCTTGGTCCTGTATCCACAGCTTGCTGCTAGTTATTTTTTTCCATAGATAATTGATTTTATTTTCAGCAATAGGAAGGTACAAAGCTGGTTTGGCAAGATCTGTTTTCCATAAACTTACGCCTGTTGGCATGAACTACATTACTTTCCTTTAAATCTTTATTAATAACATATTATTATAAGTTTGTCCACACTTTTCTTCAGGGTTTATGATAGGCTGACAGACATAATTAGTTTGGTCATCCCAATTGTCTTTTTTCGATATTAGCTGTTCCATTAGTTATTGAAAATCAACATTAAATAAGGTTAATTAAGGATTTTTTTCCTCACCTATGTAAATGCAAGTTTTCAAATTACCCAAAAATCCTCATTTGAATATGTCTAACTCCTGTAAATGGTAAAACCTTCCGAAGTTACTGATACAATAGAAAATAGTTCATCATATGGTATGAATGAAGTACTCATCTGACACCTTCTATCACAATATCTGTTTCTAAATGCTTTCACCTGTCATGTAATTGAATCGAAAGGGTAGAGCTTGTCAGCTTTCATTGATAGGCTAGATTTGAATTATCAGTCAAAAGATGAACCTCCTGATAAAGCAAAAGTGTGGTGAATACAACTCACTCCAGTTTCTTTTTTTTTTTCATATTCTTTGAAACACACTTTATCTTTCAATCTTTTATAAATGTCCTTATGTTTTTCTAGACATTTTCTCAATTTTCTGAGTTCCTAACTTTAGTTTATTGCCATAAACATCCTCTTCCTTTTGTTTGCATTTCTTCCAATTTAGTCTTGGTTTACTGTGACATTTTTGGATGATCACGAAAATATTCTGAAACAACTCAATTAAAAATTTTTATCTTTAGTTACTTCCCCCAAATTATTTGGCTCAGGATTTATCCTTTATTGAAAATTACCTTTTTAAAACAGAAAGAATTATTTTATTTTATATTTTTCCATATAAAAAACAAAGCATATTATGATATTTTGTACCTCAAGATCAGCTCAATATGAGGCCTACTGAAGAATTCTTCCTACTCCAGATGTCACTTTGTGATTAAACTCTTGTTTTCTGGGAATTACATAAGAAGATTTCTGAAAATCCCAAAGATTCAGTGTCAGTATCACCAAGGTGCAAGTACATACCAAGCAAACTGAAGTTCTTCACGATGACATTTAATATAGGAATTATAAAAATAAACCCTCAGATTGAAAGTTGTGAGTGTCTAGCTTTTTGTTTATTTGCTTTTAAAATAAGTAGGATTATTTTCAAGTAGGCCTAAATTAGAAGATAAAGACTTCTCTTTTAGCATTTATAATTTTATTTTCCAGTTTTCTGTTATGAGGGAGTGTACCAGAGGAACTAAAACTCATCCAACCTGCAACTTCAAGAAAGAGAAGAATTCTTTCTAAGAATTTTCAAATGTACCCATTCATAATGTATATATGACCTTGAAGTCACAGTAATATTTATTATTGTAAAGTTTAATTTTCTGTTATTTGAAATTCAGTGGGATTATTTACATATCAAGGTGGTAATTTATATTATGATAGTTATGGTTATTTATAAAATTTATTCCTTGAACAGAGAGATGCATACAATGGTAGAAACAGTCCAGTTCCTTCTCTCAGTATTCTCACACTGACCAACAGCAATTATTCCCAGAAGAAAAGAATGTTTAAAGCTCATTATATTCTCCACAATTAAATAAAAGTTAAAATTATAGCGTGTGATGGAAATGGAAAATAATTTCTCTTACAGAAAGAACATAAAACTTGCCTCTGAACCAAGCAAATACACAGACTATACTGGTTGGGCTTCTTGGCTGCCTCCCACGCTGAGCCTCCTGCTTCACCCACTATAAATGCACAATTTTAGGACAGATGTAAGTTCTGTATGAGGTCTAAAACTAGCTTAAGAAATGATGGTAAATAACTACCATCATGACACTTTTAAGCTTCTACCATGGTGTGACTTACAGGACTTCTGTAAAAGGAGCTTTGTCCCATCCTGGTGAAGCAGTAAGAAGGTGTGCTTGGATGCCCACGATGAGCAAGCTTGCGTTGGGAAGGAATAACATCTGCCTTCAGGTTATTCCCAGAAACAGAGTGGAGCGTGAATTCAGACATCAGCTGAAGCTGCAATCTGCTGTCGTTCTGCTTGTGGAGCTCCACCGATGCTCACCAGAAATTAACAGCAGGGCTCTGCCTTGGTTTGATGGTGGTAAATGCAGACAGATGGCTTAATTTGTTCAGTCAACTCTGTGCAAAAGCTAATTGCTTTTAAAGGCTACAGAGCTTTCCTCTGAGAAAGAACAACTTCTATCAACAGGTATAGATCCCACAGTTTCAGGTATTATCAACTGTGTGAGAGAAAGTGTGGACTGGAGATTATTTAGTTACCTTTTATTTTCTGTAAAGCGATAAATGAGATATTTTGGATTAGAAATGTGTTAGAATGGATCAGAAGATATGATAAACGTATTTTCAAAGGCTTTCAAAGGTTTTTCCAGTCATTTCCATTACAACTGTAGATACTCGAATTACAATAAGACCCTAACAATTCCCAGGGCCATTCTTTTCACTTGTTTTCATAGCATGTGACATTAAAAAGGCACAAATAAAAGTAAAATCATAAGAATTTTTGTAGTTGGAGTCTAATATTTGCTGTTAAGGACACAGCTGAGGTGTGCCCAGATATCCAAGTATCATCTGCAATGATGAAGTTGTAGTAATTTCTAATTTCTAATTCATTTATGAGTAAATAGAGTAAACATACTGATATGAAATTGAAACCTATTAACTTTAGAGGTAGGTCTGAGATCATAATCATTACACAAAACTCAAAAGGAGTTAAGTGTATCTCAGTGGATTTAAAAAGTTTTATTCTCTAATATCTGAGTATGAAAATAATTATTAGATCTGAAATTCTCAGAAGAATATGGTATTATCTTTTCATTCCTATTACTGATTATCTTCATGCATGCTTTTCAACCTCTTTGCTTTAAATGTCCTTTAGGAAGATGGTATTTGAACTACAATGACAATACATGAAATACACAAAGGTATTTAATGCCAGCTATAAATTATGATATTTGACTATAATAAGGAGCATGTACATAGCCATCAGCAATACAACTTCTATTTCAGTCAGAGAAATTGGCTTGTTGTATGCAGTGGGATAAAGGGTAATGACCATGCTATGATCATTAT